CGGTCATACCTTCTCAAATAGGCAATATTTCAACACTTGCTGTGCTGATTAAAAAGAAAGTTGGCTTCAACGGTCCTCCGAGGGACCTTCAAAAGCCTTGAAGTTATCATAAAAGCGATCATATATTCGGTAAGGCAAGTAGATCATGATACTGAAAACATGTGACGAGAGGATAAGGCAGACTAGTGCAATCTGAAGTTCTGCCCACCAGATTATGCAAAGCAGCCACTTACACTGACAGTCTCATTTGAGTTGGCAATCCAAGCCAGACAAGGTATAAAATAAGTATTGGCGTCATGTCTCTGATACGAGGCCCATCTGTTTACGGAGCGTTCGAGAGGCCAATAAGGGATCGTTTCCACAAAGAGATCGGATGGAGGCCTCCGGGCACTGAGGGCGTACAAGGACCAGGTCGGCCTATGTGGCCGAGCCCGGGGGGCAAAACTTGCGGGGGGCAGGATTGATGGGCACATTAAGTCGTCATCCAAACACGCCATGATGCCGCCCCTAAAGATGCCCAGAATGCGCGAGAAGGTGAGAACCAAATGGTGCGTTGCAGTCTGCAGTGAGGTCTCATTCGGCTGCCTATCACAGAGACTTTTGCTGTATCGCCGCTTCACTGAAGCCCGATAGAAATGGGAGACAGCATCCCGGCGGAAAAGGTGGAGGCCTGGTCATGTCGAGTCATAATCGGTTGGTTTGGGTCTAAATTCGCCTGACCTGTCGTCAGTGCTCCGCCTCCCGCAGCCAGAAGCGAGGCCAGCTGGACCGACTGCCCGACGTCGAAATCGAGTCGACCAGGCTCTGCCATCTGCCCGGGGAAGCCGTGCATCGAGAGCTGGCCGGCGGTCGTGTGCGCCATCAGCGGAAGTCTGCCCAAGGCGGACGGAGCGGGCGCGGAATTCGCCGGCGTGGGCAACAGGCTGTGTTGATAGGCAAGGCTGGACGGTTGTCCGGGCGACTGAAAATGTTGAGCTAGTTGCTGGGGTTGCTGATGATGCTGATAGTTGTGATGATGCTGAATCGGGTGCTGGTGTTGCGGGTGGTTATGGGATTGCCGGAATTCGTGAGCGGTCGTCTGAGATGAGGGCTGTATGACGACCGGAGGCACGGGCAGCATACCGGTTGTTGAGAAGAGGTCAATAGAGAGACCAGCAGAAGGCGACAGGCCCAATTCACTCAGGAGTCCGTAGCCGGGATAGGATGTGGCGGCCTCATTCAGACCCGCGGGGGTAAGTCTTGTTCTGCCCATAGCATCGGCGGATTTGGCAGGAGTGGAGTGGCGGAGTAGGGGGGTTAGAATGAAGATAAACTTGAGCATTTTCAAGAAATTAGCCAGCCGATATGGTATATTTTTGCTATATTTCGTAAAGTATGAATGCCTGCCCTGATGATTTCTGTCACATTACAGACGAAAGTTTTGCAGAGGTTTATCGGGGTCGTGAGACGTTGAGCCGAGGACTCTTTGACACAATTCAACAGGCTTCTTTACGCGGTGATCATCCTTTGTAAGTGAGTAGGTTTTCGAGACTACCAGTAAATTTAATGGCAACGTCAGCCCTACTCACACCATTGTGTGAAAATCAACTACCAGTCCTTTATCACCTTAACGTTTAAGGTATCATGGTTCGACTTCCGCTTGGGGTGCTAATAAGACCTATGCGAGGTCGAAACTGTAGTCCATTTCAGCCTGGATGAGAACACCTTTGGGGAAAGCAAGTCTATGTGAAATTCAACGGAAAACAACAGCTCTACTCATATCATTGTGGGAAAAATGAACCCATAGTCCTTCATCACCTTAAACGAAATAGTATGAACACAACTCATATGTGTGATGAAACTTCCTCTTAGGAGACCTGAACTATTAGATGCATATATCGAATGAATATGTTTCAAAACTATCAGTACATCTTAAATTATACGTTAAGTCACGGATAAAGATATGGCTAGCTCTCTTTTTTCAGAAATTAGTTTGCCTGAACTCAATCAAAAGCTGGCATAATATAAAATTATTGAGAGTAGAGGAGAGGGACCAAACAAAAACAGGGCTAGCTTAGATGAGGAGGCATTGATACACACACATGCACACACACGCATACATACAAACATGCAGGCATAGTTGCATGCATGGGATGTACATTCATAGGTACATGCCTTTTTGCAACATTCAAGCATACACATATATGAGTGCAAAAATATGTACTCATACAAGTTCACATACTCAGATCTATACGCTCATACATATACACAAACATAAATGTATGCATGCTAACCCATGTAGGCATTTACAAAATAATGACACGCAAAGATGTTTACGTGCACCAATTGTCAAATGGCTGAGCATCCGTTTTGGAGGTAATTACTATGCCAGGGTTTTTTCCATTCCAATTTTACTTAAGCTTTTATGTCCTGTTCCTTTCATTAGAAATTTAGTTGAGGATTATAAATAATTTACCACGTGCAGACAACAGCTGCTCCATCATATCTCTGCGGACTCTGATACTCAGTTTCTGTATTTGAGTAGAGTTTCGAGACTACCAGTAAATCAGTAATGTGAGAGATGTTCATTCTATTTCGTTTAAGGTGATGAAGGACTGGTAGTAGAATTTTCTAATAATGATATGAGTAGATCTGACGCTTACATTGAATTTCAAATTGATTTACTGGTAGTCTCGATACTCTACTCAAATGCAAAAATAAGTAACGTAGTCGATTGTTATAGCAAATATACGTTTGCTTCATCGACAATCCCACCAAAGAA